GTAATTTCTACTTAAGTACAGTAACAAAGTTTTAGTACTTAGTTACTTTACAACTCTCATTTTGGGGAAAAGCTTTGTGCAGCCTTGATATATGTATATAAACTGAAACAGCTGGACTAGTGCATCCTAAATTTAACATCCATTCATTCTTTTAATACAACAGTCATTTCTGTAGTGTTTTGAGGAGGTCACCTCCTAATAAAGTACAAAAAATATCAGATACTTTAAGACTTTTACTCAAGTAATATTCCTCAAGGAGACTTTAACTTTTACCAAAGTAATATTTTGGTAAGATGCTTGTACTTTTACTCAAGTATCACTTTGTGGTACTTTAAACAACACTGGACAGATTACTGAAGGGTAAAACGACGCAGACAGGAAGTGAAGCAGAAAGGTCGCAGCAGCTCACCTCCTCTGGACGGTCGTCCTCTTCGGGCAGACAGATGCTGAGGCGGCGCTTGCGGCTGGCGTGAACCCTCCTGCTGGGCTCCTCCTCACAGTCAGAGTCCAGGAGGGTGGAGCTGCAGCTGGAGTTGGCTGCTTTTCCTCCACTCCTCCTGCAGATAAATCACAGCTGTCAATAACAGTGACTTCATCCAGAAGCAGAAAACAATTGTTTATTGTAAATTCTCGTCTTTTTAAAGCTGTAAAACTCACCGACAAAGTGCCGTGGAGAAGTTGAGCGACTGTGAAGCTTTGAGCGTTTTCAACCTTTGAGAAGAGATAATAGATTTATATCCTTCAGCTTCTTCCAACTGCAAACTGCTTCAATCAAAWGTAATGTTGTGTCTTACGTGGAGGTTTGGGTGGTCCAGCCGAGGCTGGTGGGGGCTCTGGTGGACTCGGTGCAGTGGGACAGCAGGGTCAGGTATCGTGGGATCAGGACCTGCTGGCCCAGCTTGCTGTTCAGGGACAGCTGAGCGTTAAAGCTGTATCGTTTCAGGTGAAGGATGAGAACTCTGCAGGAACAGTTACACACATTCAGCTCATATGAAGCACTTGTGACACAAAAAAACAGGTCTGTAAACTGAAACTGAGCTTTAGAGTCAAAGTTTGTTTCCTGTTGGCAGCTACCTGGGCAGTTTGCTGAATTTATGTGTAACAGTTGCTGATTTTCCATTGCACTTTTCACAAGAGTATTCAATTTCCTCCATCTGCAAACAGACATGACATCAGAGGACAGCTGCTTTGTGCAAACATCATATAATAAAAATAAAAAAGGTCATGAAGGCCCACCCTGAAAAACAGATCCAGGGAGTCCTGGATGGAGCGAAGTGGGAGGGTTTTCTTTCTGCGAGGCAGATCGATGGACAAGTCGTTGAACTGCTCACGTTTGGTCACCACCTCCCCACAGCTGCAACACAAACAGGAAACTAATCAGCCACGTGTGTCAACAACTAACTGAGTTCCTAACAAAGTGTCCAGTAGGTGGAGCTCAGCAGCTCTAACACCTGGACTCACCATTTGCAGGTGATCGTGTGCTGCACCTCAAACTCCATGTTGACCACCACGGGGCAGGTGTAGACACGGGAGGTGTCGGCCCCGTCTCCGGGTTCTACCTTGACCTCTGACCCGTTCTCACAAACCGCCGAGGACGAAGAGGAGGCGGCGGCGTCATTGGTCAGGGCTTTGTTCATTTTCTCTACGTCGTCCTTCAGCTGGTCCAAACACTGACTCAAGAACTCATGAGCATCCTAAGGAAACAGATGACCTGGAGCTCAACTTATATTAAACAAACTGATTAAAATATCACCTTCAAATAAACAAAGTCATTAAAATATCACCTTCAAATAAACAAAGTGATTAAAATATCAACCTAAAATAAGCAAAGTAACTAAAATGTCACCTTAAAATAAACAAAGTGACTGAAATATCACCTTAAAATAAACAAAGTGACTGAAATATCAACCTAAAATAAACAAAGTGACTGAAATATCAACCTAAAATAAACAAAGTGACTGAAATATCAACCTAAAATAAACAAAGT